CCTCAGCCTCCTGAGTAGCTGATTACAAGCACCCACCACCATGCCCAGCTAATTTTTGTATTTTTAGCAGAGATGGGATTTCACCATGTTGGCCAGGCTGGTCTCAAACTCCTGACCTCAAGTGATCCACCCACCTGAGCCTCCCAAAGTGCTGGGATTACAGGCATGAGCCACTGCTCCAGGCCTTAAAGTATTTTGAAATGAATGTTTGCTTTCTTTCTTAGGTGATATAACCCAGTAGTAGTCATCTCAATTTGTGGGTGGAAATAAAAAGATCATTCTCGTTTATATGGAATCTTACATTTACCCACAGCCAACCTGCCCCCTCTTTTGGAAAACAGGAGAAAGATATCCAAGAAAGGGATCTCTGATTGAAATAAAGAAAGAGGATCAGCAGTATCAATGAGAAGACTTCTAGGAGAGTGCTGCTGAAGGGGGTGCATTATGCTCTGAAGGCCGTTTGGGCGCTGAACACTTATGTGATAGGGGCACAGGGCAAAAGGACATTGGAGCAAGAAATTCAGAGGTCATGGTGAGACTGTTCTCACTCTTACTGGAATCTGAAATCTTGACTAATGAGAAGTTTGAGATGGGGGCTAGGGAGGTCGGACCCTCCAGAGGAAGACTGGCTTGACCGGGGGTTAACCCAGAGACTCCTTCCTCTGCTAGGCTGCTGCTTTCCCCACCCTCACATCTGTCCTGGCCTGCTTCTTCCAGGAGGTCTCCTGTGCTCACAAACGTAGCTCAAGTCTTGAAGTGCATCCAGAGGGTTTGCGCCTCCCCCTCCCATGGTCAGATCGCTTCCCTGTCTGAATTACTTGAGATGCCATTGCTAGGGCCAGAGTGCCTTCACACTCTTCCAGACTTGAGAACCTTTCCTGAAACTTCATTTGTGTCCCTCTACCCCTGGGTGCACAGGATTGATATCCCGAGTGCAACTGGGATCTTGTAGGTGCCCTTAGAGCATCAAGGCCTTATTAGAAATGAGGGTAGGGAGAGATGTGGGTGGAGTAGATTCTGAGTGTGGTAAAGATGGGTTAGAAACAGTTGTCATTATTAATATTCTCTGAGGTTAAGTGACAGAATGCTGGCACACTTGACACTCCCAGTGAACAGGCAGAAATATGAGTGTGAACAAGGTAAGTGGGAAGGAACAGGAGAATAACATCAGGTCACAGTCACCTTTCTTTTCTTTTTTTTTTTGAGACGAAGACTCGCTCTGTCATCCAGGCTGGAGTGCAGGGGCGTGATCTGGGCTCACTGCAACCTCGGCTTCCCGGGTTCCAGTGATTTTCCTGCTTCACCCGCTGAGTAGCTGGGATTATAGGCCCAAGACACCATGCCTGGCCAATTTTTGTATTTTTGGTAGTGACAGGGTTTTGCCATGTTGGCCAGGCTGGTCTCAAACTAGGCAGTCACCTTCTTTCAAAATCATATTTTTTTTTTGGTGTGGTATACAAAGATTTTTTGCTACAAATCCAGTTACCCATGATAAACTATACCCAGAAAGCCTTTAAGAATGGTTTAGGGCCAGGCGTAGTGGCTCACGCCTGTAATCCAAGCACTTTGGAGGCCAAGGCGGGCAGATCACCTGAGGTCGGGAGTTCAAGACCAGCCTGACCAACATGGTGAAACCCCGTCTTTAAAAAAATAAATAAAGAAAGTTAAAAAATGAAAATAAAAGAATGGTTTAGGTCAGGCGCAGTGGCTCTAGCCTGTAATCCCAACAATTTGGGAGGCCGAAGCAGGTGACTGCTTGAGGTCAGGAGTTCAAGACCAGCTTGGCCAACATGGTGAAACCCCATTTCCTAAAAACAAAAAACAAACAAACAAAAACAACAGAAGAATGGTTTATTAGGCTGGGCGCAGTGGCTCACGCCTGTAACCCCAGCACTCTGGGAGGCTGAGTTGGGCAGATGACGAGGTTAGCCTGGCCAACATAGTGAAACCCCATCTCTACTAAAAACACAAAAAAATTAGCCAGACATGGGGGCAGATGCATGTAATCTGAGCTACTTGGGGGGCTGAAGCAAGGAGAATCGCTTGAACCTGGGAGGCGGAGGTTGCAGTAAGCTACGATTGTGCCACTGCACTCCAGCCTGGATGACAGTGCGAGACTCTTTCTCAAAAAAAAAAAAAAAGAATGGTTTATTAAATCATATCCTTGCTCTCTTGGGAAAGGATATGTAAAACGTAACAGCATACCATGAATAATAATTAGAAATAAAAGAATAAAATGGAGTCAGGAACGTGACTACAAAAGCATACCATAATGACTAGGCATGACCTGGCTGGCTGCAGATTTAACTTTGGGCTTACTAGTAAACAACTCAGAGTGAGAACTGTGGCTGGTTATACAATTCACATAGTTGATAACATTGAAAGGCCAGTGGCCCAAAAGAAGTACAACCATTCCTGGAACTAAGACCAGAAAAATTCTTTGGAGAGCCTTCCGGTAAAAGAGTGAAATGTTGAATAATGTACTCAACTATATCCTTAGAGGAGATTCAGTGACAAGCTTCTTCTAACAGCATCTCTCGGTCTGGCAGTTCCTGGGACAGGGTGGGTAGAGGTGGTGGTTTCTTTGAAGTATCAGTCTGTGTCCATAACTTTGAAGAACCACAAACATACTGCCAGTTTAGGACATGTCAATGTTTTAGTGAGGAAAAAATATAAGAGTCTAATTTCTAGTAGGAGACAGCCCTGCCTTCAAAGCCCTAATATCACTGATTCCCTGCCAACACTCACACACACACACACACACACACACCCCTCTAAATTTTCAATCCATAGCTTGGCTGAATGTTATAATGTAATATGGGAGCCACTAATGAAGGAAATGAGGACCTGAGACTAGTACATAAATTGAAATTAAAAATTATTTATTCTTAAATAATGGTGGAGCCAGATTTTATGTGAGGCCTAAAGTTTATATAATTTTAGGCACTCTCTTTAAGGAAAAGAACATATAAACATAAAAGATGGTATGAAAATAAATATATGAAAAGAGAAATAAATCACAGCAAGTTACTGAAGCCACGGAGATCTACGTCCTTTTCTTCTGAGATTAAACACTTTACCAGAAATACTTACAGAGAAACACTTCCTGATTGTAATCCGCCCTCCCTTTCCCACCAGGAACTAACCCCCAGCATTACTGGGGGCCTGTGCAAGTGAGGCCCCTCGCCCAAGCTGAAATTTCATTAATTCATGGCTATATGGAAAATCGCCTCAATTCCCATCACTAAGTTCATCATCTTTTCCTAGAAGACTAAGTGTTTACCTTCTCCTGACATTGCACACTTTGAACCGTTGTTGACAAGACCCCAAAGAAATCAATGCCTTTATTTATTTGAAAATGACTTCATATCCATCTGTGATTAAAGACTTAAACATAAGACCTAACACCATAAATACCCTAGAAGAAAACCTAGGCAAAATCATTCAGGACATAGGCATAGGCAAGGACTTGATGACTAAAACACCAAAAGCAATGGCAACAAAAGCCGAAATAGACAAATGGGATCTATTTAAACTCCAGAGCTTCTGCACAGCAAAAGAAACAATCATTAGAGTGAACCGGCAACCAACAGAATGGGAAGAAATTTTTGCAATCTACCCATCTGACAAAGGGCTAATATCCAGAATCTATAAAGAATTAAAACAGATTTACAAGAAAAAAACAAACAAACCCATGCAAAAGTGGGCGAAGGATATGAACAGACACTTTTCAAAAGAAGACATATATGAGGCCAACAAACATATGAAAAAATGCTCATCATCACTGGTCATTAGAGAAACGCAAAGCAAAACTACATTGAGATACCATCTCACGCCAGTTAGAATGGCGATCATTAAAAAAGCTGAAGACAACAGATGCTGGAGAGGATGTGGAGAAATAGGAACTCTTTTACACTGTTGGTGGGAGTGTAAATTAGTTCAACCATTGTGAAAGACAGTGTGGCAATTCCTCAAGGATCTAGAAATAGAAATTCCACCAGGCGTGGTGGCTCACGCCTGTAATCCCAACACTTTGGGAGGCCAAGGCAGGCAGATCACCTGAGGTCAGGAGTTCGAGACCAGTCTGGCCAACATGGTGAAACCCTGTCTCTATTAAAAAAAAAAAAAGAAATTCCATTTGACCCAGCAATCCCATTATTGGGTATATATCCAAAAGATTATAAATTGTTCTATTACAAAGACACATGCACATGGACGTTCATTGTGGCACTGTTCACAACAGCAAAGACCTGAAACCAAACCAAATGCCCATCGATGATAGACTAGACAGGGAAAATATGGCACATACACACCATGGAACACTATGCAGTCATAAAATGCAGCCATAAAAAACGATGAGTTCGTGTCCTTTGTAGGGACATGGATGAACCTGGGAACCATCATTCTCAGCAAACTGACACAAGAACAGAAAATCAAACACCACATATTCTCACTCATAGGTGGGTGTTCAACAATGAGAACACACGGACACAGGGAGGGGAGCATCACACACTGAGGTCTGTTGTGGGGAGCTAGGGGAGGGACAGTAGGGGGTAGGGATTTGGGGAGGAATAACATGGGGAGAAATGCCAGTTATAGGTGATGCGGATGGAGGCAGCAAGCCACATTGCTATGTATGTACCTATGCAGTAATCCTGCATATTCTTCACATGTACCCCAGAACCTAAAGTGCAATAAAATACATATATTAAAAAAAAACAACAACAGAAAATGATTTCATATCCATCTGGAAGAAATAATAGCTCCCAGTCTCATTCTTTTTAAAGTGATCGTGTGTCCCCATTCAGAACGCAGGGCTCTAAATTTGGGTATCCTTGGCTGTCACGTGACAGAATTTCCCTGGAAGTGTTTTGGGGCTAAACAGGAGGAATATGAGATTTGCTCTATTTTGTAAGGCAAACAGCAGGAAGTTAAGAAAGTCTGATAAATCTGAATGCATTTTCTGTACCATCTTGTCCTCTATTCAAATCAATTTTATGTTTTCTTCTTGAGATGAGGAGGCATAATCAGGTTTCCATTGACAAGCTGTGAAAATGTTGACTTCAGTTTTGTAACAAGGTTGAAAGCGGAAAAGCCAGATGGAAAAAAACAACCTCCAACCTGAAAAGTAGAAAGCAAAATGTACTTCTAGAAAAATATTGCATGTGACTTGGAGAAAAGTTAGAATAGGATCTGCCTATTTTAAAATGAAACCTCAAGCATGTGGTTTAGGCTTAGGGTGTTTCCTCTTTTTTTCTTGTAATTTTACTCCGAGATTTAAGCAGTGTTGGCATATTTGCCACACAATAGGTTTCCTGTAGTAGGAGGAAAGAGTCATAGGTCGAGTTTATGTGAAAGAAGACAAGGCTCGCTGATGACTGTTTAACATAGAATGTAAAATGATCAGATTTTTAAAAAGTAAAATATCATTTGAACACCGGAAGATTCCCAATACGCTATGGTGCCTTGTAGTAACTGAGTCCTTGCAGCTGCGTCCTGGCAGTGATTCCCTCCCAGGCCCCCAAAAGGTTGTACATGCCAGGGAACCAGATACATGTGAATGCCCAGTAGGGACAGGGCTGATCCAGGGCTGGGAGGCAGCGCTTGGGATCCTCAGGGCTGGTTTAACCTTCTGATCCATGGGTCTCTGGGGGAAACATTTTGGAATTGACATCTTTGCTTGAGAGCTGCTGATAAGACCATAGCAAGCTTATCCACAAATGTTTTTTTATAGGAAACTTTGTGTAGGAAAGAAATGGGGAGCAATACACAAGAAGGAGAGGAAAGCAAACGTAAGCTCAGGTCCAACGTAGGGAGAAGAAACATTTGCTAATTGTTCTGAGGCATACAACTACACTGAACTCTCAGTAACTCAGGATAGTCCCAAAGAGATCTGATCTGATTTAAAATGTAAAGTAGACAATAATTTTTAAAGTAAATATGAATTTATTATTTTAAGGCATATTCCTTAACAGTTAAAATAGCTGAGAAAACAAGTAGAAATCCTCTTGGGATTGCTTAAATGCCTAAAGGAAACAAATTGTAATGAGGTTAATTAATTATTTTTGTCTAAATAGATTCTGCTAAAATTACTTTAAGTATTTGAAGACTTTGTGTCCTTAAGAAGCTAAACATGATTTCAGCATTTGCTCTGAAAGTCTTATTTTTCAAAATGTTACTTTGGCAGATTTTGGCTTTCTACTGAAATTATTCTGTACTCTTTTAGCAGGGTGAGAAAGAATGTGGTCTTATTCCATGTGAGATAGATTAGTATACTGTAGCCATACATGTACTAGGTTTGTACTAGGCTCTGTACTATGTATTGATCTCTTTTTTTTTCTGCTTTTTTTTTCCCTTTGAGATGGAGTCTCCCTCTGTTGTCCAGGCTGGAGTGCAGTGGCACCATCTCGGCTTATTGCAATTTCTGCCTCCCAGGTTCAAGTGATTCTCCTGCCTCAGCCTCCCGAGTAGCTGGAATTACACTGTGCCTGCCACCATGCCCGGCTAATTTTTTTGTATTTTTAGTAGGGACGATTTGTCACTGTGTAGGCCAGGCTGGTCTCACACTCCTGACCTCAAGTGATCCGCCCGCCTCAGCCTCCCAAAGTGCTGGAATTACAGGCATGAGCCACTGCACCTGTCCTGGATTTCTATTTGCGTTTATTTTTTTGGATATGTTTTTTGAGATTAAATTTTTTTTTCAATTGGTAATCTCCATCCAGTAAAACATTTAAAGAAATTGGAGGGCATGAGGTGAGATGTACATAAAATAAGTCTCCTTTCCATTCTTGCTCCCTAATCTTTTTCCCCAGAGTCCCCCACAGCTCACCAGTTTTTCATGTGTACCTTCTAAGATATTGCGCTGAACATTTAAGATATAATATCTCATTTAATCCCATGTGGTAATTGACTACATATTGTCAGCTTCATTTAACAGATGAGGAAACTAAAGCACATACTTGCCCCAGATCACAAGGAAGTAAGAGAACCAGGATCAAAGCCCATGCCAGGGCAGCACTGCTTTACATCCTCCACATTATCTTCACTCCAGATGACCACAAAGACTGGTCTCTACTTTCTTGTCCCCACCTGTCTTCTTGTTTAAATTCCACTCATGCTTTAAGGCCTCGTTTAGAATGATAGCATTTACTGAGTGCTCACTATGTGCCAGGCACTTACATACACTATCTAATTTAATTTTCATTACAGCCTTAGGAGGTAACTATTATTATCCCCAATTAAGAGAAGTGAAGTTGAGACTTAGAAAGCCACATAGCTAGTAAGTGGCAGCGTAACACTGCCACGCTGGTCTGATCGGAGGCCCTAGCCTCTCAGCTCAGGCCCATTTACTCCCAAAGTTCTCCTGGGCTTGCAGTGATTTCACTTCCAGGAATAGCCTTAGCACTTCTTATCACACAACGTGGTGCTATTTGCTTGGAAATTGCTCTGTATTGTTCTTTGGCAGTCTAGCCTTCTAGATTCTTCTCTTTCAACCTTACTGCCCACTCCTAGAAAGCAAAGACTCTATTTTTTTATGCTCAGTCATAATACAACTGTAGAAATCCTACTGAGACCTTACAAAATAGAACAAGAAAATGGACTAATGAAAATGGAACACTTTAAACTTCTGTCTGGAATTATATCACTGGTGTTTTTAGCTTTTGAAAAATCAAATATATGTGCACTAGAAAAAGTGAGAGAGGAAGAAGGCAACTTGGTGCAGTGGTACTGCCTGCCCTTGCTCTCCCAGGGCTCATGGCCTAGGGTGTGTATGCACCAGGAGGCTGGCACCTGCCTTTTCTGGATGAGTCTCTATTCTGCGGGTTCAGAGTGCCTAAGTACCTGTCTCTGAGTGTGATTCTATTGCTTCAAGATGAATTTCTTTATTTCTTTCTTTTTTGAGACAGGGTCTTGCTCTGTTGCCCAGACTGGAGTGCAGTGGTACAATTATGGCTTACTGCAGCCTCAACCTCCTGAGCTCAAGTGATCCTTCCACCTCAGCCTCCTGAGCTGCTGGGACCACAGACATGTGCCAGAACACCTGGCTAATTTTTTTTATGTTGCTTAGGCTGGTCTGGAATTTCTGGTTTCATGTGATCTTCCTGCCTTGGCCTCCCAAAGTGCCAGGATTACAGGTGTGAGCCACCATGCCCTACTTCTTTTTAAAAAATACAACATTGGCTGGGCAAGGTGACTCACGCCTGTAATCCCAACACTTTTGAGAAGCCGAGGTGGGAGGGCTGCTTGAGTCCAGGAGTTCTAGACCAGCCTAGGCAACATAGTGAGACCCTGTTTGTATAAAAAAAATTTTTTTTTAATTAGCTGGGCATGGGAGTACATGCTGGTAGTCCCAGCTTACTTAGGAGGCAGAGGCAGGAGAACTGCTTGAGTCCAGGAGTTTGAGGCTGTAGCAAGTTATGATCATGCCAATGCACTTTAGCCTGGGACACACAGTGAGACCCCGTCTCTAACACAGCAACAACAACACAGGGCAAGCAGGACGTGGAACTAGGTTCATATGCTGGAAGAAACTCTGACTCTATATCTTACTTTAGAAATTAAAGGGATCTTAAAATTGCGTGTACGGATTTTCTTTTCTTTTTTTTTTTTTTTGAGACGGAGTTTCGCTCTTGTTACCCAGGCTGGAGTGCAATGGCGCCATCTCAGCTCACCGCAACCTCCGCCTCCTGGGTTGAAGCAATTTTCCTGCCTCAGCCTCCCGAGTAGCTGGGACTACAGGCGCACACCATCACGGCCAGCTAATTTTTGTATTTTTAGTAGAGACGGGGTTTCACCATGTTGACCAGGATGGTCTTGATCTCTTGACTTCATGATCCACCCGCCTCGGCCTCCCAAAGAGCTAGGATTATAGGCGTGAACCACTGCACCCGGCAGCGCATACACATTTTCTACCTTTGGGACCTAACCCAATCTAAGGTGGCTACATTGTACTTAAAGTTGAAGGCTTGTCCCTAGCCAGAAAAACTTCAGATCTCTTTAGCTCACACTCCAATATTGGGAAAATAAACTTGGAAAGTATTTTCCTTAGCAAAGAAAGATCTCGGTGTGAAATGATGTTCATTTTGTTTTCTTTCATTTTTTTCTTGATCATCAGTCTCCAGTGCCAATGTCTCAGTTTGCAGATTAACTGTAATTATAGGTGTGGCCTCTCCTTAGGAGAAACAGCAACCTGCTCTCTGATGGATCAATGTGGCATAAACTGTGATGTAAAAGGGACTCCATGCTGGGTGGAAGGTTGGACTAGAAGTTCTCCAAGTTTCCTCTCCAGCCTCTCCGAGGTAGTATTCCAACGGTGCTAAGGCCATTGTAAAAGGTCTTCTGAGTAATTTACGGCCTCTTTTTCCCTTTAACCAAGCACATTAGATGATTTCCAGATGTCTCTGTTACTCCTTTTGGAAGCAGTGGGGTTCTGGATCATTAGGTGGGCTGTGAGGACCGCTGCCTGGGAATTGTGAGGACATATTTAACCTGCTGATCTGGAGTAGCTCCAGCTCCTTACTGGTCTCGCCTGCCTCTTGTTAGGTCAAAGCACTCACAGGAAGTGGATTAGTTGTACTTGAGGGGAATTATGTGTTGTTTGAAAAATATCTGGACCTCATGCCTGTAATCCCAGCACTTTGGGAGGCCAAGTGGGCAGATCACAAGGTCAGGAGTTCGAGATCAGCCTGAGCAACACGGTGAAACACTGTCTACTAAAAATACAAAAAAAATTAGGTGGGTATGGTGGCACATGCCTGTAATCCCAGCTACTATGGAGGCAGAAGAATTGCTTGAACCTGAGAGGCAGAGGTTGCAGTGAGCTGAGATTGCACCATTGCACTCCAGTCTGGGCAGCAGAGCGAGACTCTGTCTTAAAAAAAAAAAAGAAAGAAAGAAAAAGAAAAAGAAAGAAAAATATCTGGATCCTGGGGCCCCAAGCAGGGGTAAAGGTTTACTTTGCAGCCCTTCCCCGAAAGCATAGCAGGGATCTGGAACTCAAGGCCAGGGCCTTTGGGTTAGGAAAGCGGGGTACCAGGATGGGTGATGGATTGACTGGGGAGCACTGTCAGCTCCTGCCTTAACCTTTGGGCCTGCCCAGCAGTCTCTGTGGCACTGTAAGATCATCTTCACTTTCTTGTGACCTAGTTTTGGCTTTTCTGAGAAAAGGCTTTGTTGATCAGTGACCCCTACCCAGAGACCCTAAGAAAACGTGTTCTCTCCTTCTCAGATTTTATGCTACTCCAGGGGTATATGAAGCTAGGTTGCCGTCTCGTCTGATGACTCTCTTTCACGTAGCCCCATTTCCACGTGTTCTGTCTGCCTTTCACACTAAACTGTTATCTCCTGAAGAATAAGAACTGGATTTTGTCACAGGAGGTGGCTCATGCTCATGCTTGTAATGCCAGCACTTTGGGATGCTGAAGGAGGGCTGGTTGAGGCGAGGAGTTCAAAACTAGCCTGGGCAATAAAGTGAGACCTTGACTTTACAAAAAAAGTTAAAGAATCAGTGGAACATGCTGGTATGCACCTTTAATCCCAGCTACTTGGGAGGCTGAGGTGGGAGGATTGCTTGAGCCCAGGAATCCATGAGCCAATATCCAGCCTGGGCGACAGTGAAACCATGTCTCCAAAAAACAAAACAGGCTGGCTCACGCCTGTAATCCCAGCACTTTGCGAGGCCGAGTTGGGCAGATCACGAGGTCAAGAGATCAAGACCATCCTGGCCAACATGGTGAAACCTGTCTCTACTAAAAATACAAATTAGCTGGGTGTGTTGGCTTGTGCCTATAATCCCAGCTACTCCGGAGGCTGAGGCAAGGGAATGGCTTGAACCTGGGAGGCAGAGGTTGCAGTGAGCCGAGATCATGCCACTGCACTCCAGCCTGGCAACAGAGCGAGACTGTCTCTTAAAAAAACCCAACCAAACAAAAACAAAACAAAACAACTTGGATTTTATTCATCCCTCCATTCTTGGCTCTGAGCCTGGCCCATAGGCCTGTAAATTGGTGTCGGGGATCTGCTCGGGAACCTGCATGGGGACTTTTCCCCTCTTCCTATACTGTCCTTGACTTTTTTATTTGTAACCTTTTAAATTGCACATTTTCAAATAAACAAAAAGTATAGAGAATAGTATAGTGAATACTCCTTTATCCAGATTTACCTTGATTGCTACACCTTGCCATATTTACTTCGTCAGTTTTTTTGCTCAAATATTTAAAAGTTAATTTCAGATATAATGATATTTTACCCCTAAATACTTATATATGGATCTCTAAGGATGTCTCCCCCACAGAACCATAATACTGTATTCTATATTATTATCACACATTATCACACCTAATAAAATAAATAATAGTTCCTGGTCTGGGCAACATGGCGAAACCCTGTCTCTACAAAATATAAAAAATTAGCTAGGTGTGGTGGTGAACACCTATAGTCCCAGCTACTTATGGGGCTGAGCCAGGAGGATCGTTTGAACCTGGGAGGTCAAGGCTGCAGTGACTCATGATGGTACCACTGCACTCCAGCCTGGGCGACAGAGCAAGATCTTGTTCCAAAAAAGAAAATAAATAAATAAAAGTAATGGCTCCTGGCTGGGCACGCTGGTTTATGCCTGTAATCCCAGTACTTGGGGAGGCCAAGGCAGGTGGATCACTTGAGCTCAGAAGTTCAAGACTAGCCTAGGCAACAGTGAAACTCTTTCTCTATTAAAAATACAAAAATTAGCCAGATAGTCCCAGCTACTCTGGTGGCTGAGGCAGGAGAATTGCTTGAACCTGAGAGGCAGAGGTTGCAGTGGGCCATAATCATGCCACTGCACTCCAGCTTGGGTGACAGAGAAAGACCCGGTCTCAAAACTAACAACAACAAAAAAGATCCGAAATATCAACTGCCCTCAGCAGGTCTTTTATAACTAGTTTATTCAAACCAGAAGCTTCTCAGGCCACACATTGCATTTAATTGTTTTGATTCTAACTTTTCTTCCCCTTTTCCCCCATGTTATGTTATCGACTTGTTGAAGAAATCAGGCCAGTACTTTCGAAAGTCTCGTTTTCATGGTGCTATTTAAACTTCACCAGGCTTCCAAAATAGAGCTGACTTAAGGATGCATCATAGCCACCACTGTGGGAGTCTCCTCCACTTTAGAAACCCTCCATTTCTATCCTTCTCTTTGCCTCCATTATCCAGGAGCAAATCCCCAGGGTACTGACACCCAAGGCTAAAGGCTCATCTATCCTGAGCCCTCTCATCTTTTGCTTGGAGGTCCATTTCCTGGCCTTGCAGTCAGCTCGTGTGAGCCTTCCAATAAAGCAGGGCCTGGACAGCTCTCCCTACGGCTGCCAGCAACAACCTCAGGAAGCCCCAGGTCCTTCACTTATGCTGCTGAGAAAGCCTTGGAACTTGGGGCTCAGGGGCTCCTTACCGGTAGCAGCAAACAGCAGCCATTTTTCAAAATGAAGTTAAAACCCACTCCTCCTAACTCAATACATCTCTTAAATTCATCCCAGAAAAACAACCTGTTTTCCAAGTGAAGTTAAGATTCAGCAGCACCCCCCAAACCCTGTTACCCCAGGACTGATGATCTCCAGGCAGACACATCACACCAGTGGCTGCTCCTGCCAGCAAAAAAAAAAAAAAAAGTTTCCATTGATTTGCTTGAAAAATGTAAAGGTTTGGGGCCGTAGTCTCTGCCACAAGGTCAATAGAGAATTGTCTTGCCTGAGGTGCCCCAGGAAATCAGCCAGGAAAAGCAACGATCTACTTTTCGTTTCTTAGGTAAGGGAGGGGGTGGGAAGCTGCAGCAGGGAGAGAATGGAGGAGGTGACGGTTCGGATAGCTGTGTGTTTAGATCAGAGGCCTTGGGCTAAGGTCAGCAAGAAAACATGAACGTTCCAGGCACAAAGAGGAGTGGAGTTACGACACCAGGGGTGTGGGCTGGACAGTTTCCTCCAGCTTGACATGAATGTCTAGCTGTTGACTTTGGCTCACTGGATTTCTTTTTTTTTTTTCTTTTGAGACAGAGTCTTGTTCTGTTTCCCAGGCTGGAGCGCCGTGGCTCGATCTCAGCGGCTCAATCTCAGCTCACTGCAACCTCCACCTCCTGAGTTCAAGCGATTCTCTTACCTCAGTCTCCCGAGTAGCTGGGATTACAGATGTGCACCGCCATATCCAGCTAATTTTTGTATTTTAGGTAGAGATGGGATTTCACCATGTTGGCCAGGCTGGTCTCGAACTCCTGGCCTCAAGTGCTCAGACTCCCAAGTGCTAGGATGATAGGTATGAACCACTGCACCTGGCCTGGATTTCTATTTGGGTCTATTTATTTATTTATTTATTTATTTATTTGAAAGAGGGTCTCACTCTATTGCTCAGGCTGGAGTGCAGTGGCACGATCTTGGCTCACTGCAACCTCTGCCTCCCGGGTTCAAGCAATTCTCCGCCTCAGCCTCCCAAGTAGCTGGGATTACAACCACTTGCCACCATGGCCAGCTAATTGTATTTTAGTAGAGACAGAGTTTCACCATGTTGGTCAGGCTGGGTGTCTATAATAATTTTTACAAGAAAAAACCCTCCAAGAGCTATTTGTCTATGGGTGGAGTAGATCACATTTTATTCTTCCTGAACATGGTAAAATGCTTCACAGGCAATTAAGGATGGAGAAGAGAGAATTTATACTTTTAGCTAAATTCTCAATGTATGGATCAGTTAAACCTTTCCATTTTCTGGCTCTTCCTTTTAATTAATTCTGTTTCTTGTTTTTCCTCTCTGTCTGTGGCAAGGCTCCTCTTTTTGTTCCCCACACTCTATTTTCCTACTTTTATTTCAGTGGCTGGCAAAATCAGAGCGTTATTTGATTTTGAAAGAGTCATTGCAGAAGCTTAGGCAATCTTTTTCTCTAGAGCGTTGAATAAGGTGGGTCTGAGCCTGTCCTTTTTGCAGCAGCTTAGAGAGGGTGTGTGTGCATGTGTGTGTGTGAGTAGAGGAGGGGGTGAGGGGTCAGGTGACCTCCCAAGGCACCCTCTCCTTGTGGGACACAAAAACCCAATCCTCAGAGGGAGGGCAGAAGGCCAGGAGTGGGAGAAGTTTCTCTGTTTGCTCCTTAAGATCTGGTGGTTGGGGCATTTTGGCAAACAGCTTGGCCACTACTTTATTATATGGTTAGTTTGGAAAGCAGGTTGCTGAGAATGGCAATGAAAGACAGAACTTACACTTTTTTTTTTTTTTTTTTAAGAGATGAGGTTTTACAGTGTTGCCCAGGCTGGAGAGCAGTGGTTACTCACAGGTACAATCATAGCATGCTACAGCCTTGAACTCCTGGACTCAAGCAATCCTTCCACCTCAGCCTCCTGGGTAGCTGGACTACAGGCACGCCCCAACTTGCCTGGCTCAGACCCTATGCTCTTGAAAACTGCTTTTAAGTGGAGGCCCTCTGAATGCACATTCTGGGATAGGGTCTCGGTCACCTGCACATATAGCAGTACGTACGGCCTTTGGAGTCTTCTGAGAGGAGTGAAAATTCCCCTCCCTGGGGAAAGCCACAGTGGAAAAGGAACCAGGGAGTCTGTGAAAACAGCTTTAGGCTTCTGCGAGTATATTATGAAGCTCACTAAGTAACGGAATCATCACTTGTGCTTTATAGCTCATTAGTGCTCTATTGAAGTCAATGAATACTGAAAGAATTACAAAACAAACATAGAATTGACAAAGTGAGAGAGAAAGCAGGGCAACTAGTTGGCATCTTCAAGTTCTGGATAACCTGCAGGGTGGGCTTCAGGAAACTGACTGTGAGAGTCTAAGAGTAGATGGTGCCGGGTCTCTCTGGACTTCTATCTTTAGGTTCTTTTCCTCTTTTCCTTTACCTCTGCTTCTCTGAGGTCAGCACTCACTTCAATCATCCTGTCCCAGGGCCACCAGATCTCCTTGAGCTTCAGAAAACACTCCTCTCACTGTCCTTCCCCAACGTTTCAATGAATGAAGACTCACTGAGCACACAGCGATCAAATCTGTGATCCAGGTGGCACTCGGAATTCAGTAGTAGCAGTGGTGGTTCCCACAGTGCTCACTGGACCTTGGCCAAGACGCCACCTGGAACCACAGCTGATAGCTGAGAGTTAAGACCTACCTATTGAAGGAAGGAAAGAGAACAACTTCATGACAAGTTTTGTTTTTACTCCTAAGCAAAACCGCAATCAGAGATAACTGCAATTGTCAAGTTGGCACATACGCTTTTTTTTTTTTTAAATCAGGGGATTTTTTTTCTTTTACTTTATAAGACAAAATTAAAAGCCACTAGACAGGAACTCACTCAAATTCTTGTCACAAACGTACCTGCAGAGGAATTCATTATTTCCTCCTTCCCGTCCATCATAAAGACACGTCTCATTGACAAAGCCAGTTCCGAGGCTCTAAATCTCTCCTGCAGCCTCACTGACTTTGCTGCATTGCAAGTTCCTTCTCTCTCCTGGTGTTTCACTTCCTGCTGATTCATTGCCATCAGCATTTAAACAAGACCAAATGTCCTCTATCCTTAAAATCTTATGCTCGCTAGCTACACCCACCCCTTTAATTCACTTCTTTATCTGACTTGTTTTGGTTACAGTTAAGTGTGTTGAAACAGGTGTCCGCACTCACCACCACTTCCCTGCCCTCCAGCCTGAAACTCTCTGTGAAATCTGGCTGCTGCCGCCATATTCCTCTGACACTGGTCCAGCCAAGATCACTAACAACCTTGTTGTTCAATTTTAAGGCTGCTTTCCCAGCATTATCCGACTTGAACCCTAAGTAGCTGATATTGGTGACCATGGCCTTCTTGAAACTGTCTTCTTGCTGGGTGAGGTGGCTCATGCCTGCAGTCTCAACCCTTTGGGAGGCTGTGGTGGGTAGATTGCTTGGGCTCAGGGATTCAAGACCAGCCTGGGCAACATGGCAAAACGCTGTCTCTACAAATAATAATAATAATAATAAATTGATAAAAATTAGTCAGACATGGCGGCATGCACCAGTAGTCCCAGCTACTCGGAAGGCTGAGGTGGGAGGATCACCTGAGCCCAGGAGGCCAAGGCTGCAGTGAGCCGTGATTGTGCCACTGCACTCCAGCCTGGCAGCCTGGGTGACAGAGTGAGGGCCTGTCTCAAAAAACAAACAAAACAAAATAAAAGAAAACTGTCTTTCTTGGTTTGGTGACATCTATCTTTTTACCACAACTTCTTAGAATCCTTTGTGGGTTATTTTTCTGTTAATACGTTCATTGTAGAATCTTTGGAAAACTAAAAAAAAAAATCAATAGTCTACATGTTATCCCCTCATAGAAGTCTTTTTTTTTTTTTTTTTGAGTCAGGGTCTTACTCTGTCACCCACGCTGGAGTGCAGTGGCATGATCATGGTTCACACTGCAGCCTCAGCCTCCCAGGCCTAGGTGATCCTCCCACCTCAGCTTCCTGAGTAGCTAGGACTGCAGTCATGTGCCACCATGCCCAGCTAATTTTTTTTTTTTTTTGTAGAGACAATGTTTTCCCATGTTGCCCAGGCTGGTATTGAACTTCTAGGCTGAAGTGATCCACCTACTTTGGCCTCCCGAAGTGCTGGGATTACAGGCGTGAGCCACCATGCCGGCCTGCACATGGCAGTCTTCGCAGCATTTAACACTCATCATTTCCATTCCCAAGACTGCTCACCAACTATAGTCTCTTTCTCAGTGAATGGCTCCATCCTTTCTCCAGTTGCTCAAACTAGAGTTCTGATGTTATCGTTGACTCTTCCCTCTGCCATATTTCTCATGCCCAGTCAATCAAGACCCATTAATTTTATCTCTTGAATGTCTCCAAATCCATTTAAAGTTGACCCCAGAACAACACAGATTTGAACTGTGGGGGGTCACTTTTACGTGGATGTTCTTCAACCAAATGCAGAATGAAAATACATTATTTGCAGGATGTGAAACTCACTCACATAGAGGGCATATACTCAGGTTCTACAGAACTTGAGAATGGATAGATTTTGGTATGGGATTGGGGAGTTCTGGAAACAATTCCCCACGTATATGGAAGGTATGGAAGGACAACTGTACTTTCTATTCTTTTTCTTTTTTCTTTCTTTTTTTGAGATGGAGTCTTTATTGTCACCCAGGCTGGAGTGCCGTGGTGCGATCTCGGCTCACTGCAACCTCCTCCTCCCAGGTTCAAGTGATTCTCCTGTCTCAGCTTCCTGGGTAGCTGGGACTATAGGTATGCACCACCATGCCCAGCTAAGTTTTGTATTTTTAGCAGAGATGGGGTTTCACCATGTTGGCCAGGCTGGTCTCGAACTCCTGACCTCAGGTGATCCGCCCACCTCGACCTCCCAAAGTGTTGGGATTACAGGCTTGAGCCACTGCGCCTGGCCTGTACTTTCTATTCTTATTGCTTCTGTGCTAGTTTGAGTTCCTCTCTTTCTCGCCAAGTCAATTCAACAATCTCCTAACTAGTCTTCCTGACTCCATTTTTTTGCCCCATTCCTTTCCATTCTTCATACTACAGCCAGCCTCCTCTGTAAACAGTCACATCTGAGTGTGTCACCCATCACCCCTCTATGACATAAACCCTTTGACAGAGGGTAATCCTAAGGACAAAGTCTACATTTTTCAATGTGACCTTCAAGGATCTGCATTTTGTGTTATTTGCTTGCCTCTCTGGCCGTTTTTCCATCACCCCTACCCCTGCCTCTTTCAGTCACACTGAGCTCATTGTACTATTCTAAACAACCCTTCTCATCTCTGAGGTTTTTATGTGTAGTTCTTAAAATGTTTCTCTTTTCCCCTTCCAGGCTAACTGAAACTCATTTGTTGGATTTCACGTTAGAGATATGAATCTTTCTTAAAGCCTTTCCTGATTTTTAGGTGCTCCCAAGGGCCAACAGAGCACCCCCACCAAAAGTCTTATCATGCTTTATTGTCAATGCCTGTTTGCTAAGGATTGGAAGCCCCTCAAGGAAAGGAACATGTCTGGTTGATAGAATCATTTCCCACACCTTGCACAGTGTTCAGCGTAAATAGACTAATAGTTATCGAATAGATGATTGTGAGTCCAACCACTGCTTCTGGGGAAAAAGTGGTTCAATGACATGGTCTGTCCTGAAATATTAAATTTTTTATCCTCACATTCTTTCTTTTTTTGAGACTTGGTCTCGCTCTGTTGCCCAGGCTGGAGTGCAGTAGTGTGATCTTGGTTCACTGCAACCTCTGCCTACTGGGTTCAAGTGATTCTCTTGCTTCAGCCTCCTGCATGGCTGGGACTACTACAGGCACGAGCCACCACCCCTGGCTAATTTTTGTATTTTTAGTAGAGACAGGGTTTCGCCATGTTGGAGGGGCTGCTCTTGAACTCCCGACCTCGAGTGATCCACCCACCTTTGCCGCCCAAAGTGCTGGGATCACAGGTGTGAGCCTCCAGGCCCAGCCCCCTCACTTTTCATCATACAGAATATTCATAGAGCACTTTATTGGGGGCCATGCTGTTTTCCACGGATAGAGAAAGAAGCCAGACCACTTTCTTGTTTCTTCTACTGAAATGGTATTTAAATAAGATCATTTTCATTTGTTTCCTCCTTTTTCTGCAGTGGTGATTAAAACTGAAATCACTGGCCGGTCGCGGTGGCTCACGCCTGTAATCCCAGCACTTAGGGAGGCCGAGGCGGGTGGATCACGAGGTCAAGGGATCGAGACCATCCTGGTCAACATGGTGAAAGCCTGTCTCTACTAAAAATACAAAAAATTAACTGGGCATGGTGGCGCGCGCCTGTAGTCCCAACTACTCGGGAGGCTGAGGCAGGAGAATTGCTTGAATCCAGGAGGCGGAGGCTGTAGTGAGCCCAGATAGCACCATTGCTCTACAGCCAGGGTAACAAGAACGAAACTCCATCTCAAAAACAAAAACAAAAAAAACCTGAAATCACTTTTCTAGGGATTGGTACATAAAAGCCCCAAGGACTAATCCCTGACATTAAGCAACACTGACATCAGGGTGATAGGTTTCCTGGCTATCCTTGATATATGTTGACAATATGCATCTAGCCCTGCATTAGGTGCCTGGAAATGTTAATGCCAAATTAGCATCACTTAACAATGGTACTTGTTTAGGGATTGTTTTTAAAATTGTTGAGCTGGTCACTTTTTCCGATCTCTAGTAATTAAATGAATAATAAACTATTCTTTTGGTTTGCTTATGGAAATGCAATTGCTAGTATGTACTGGGTAAAAGGAGGTCATTGTGGGGCACAGTGAAGTCATTATTTATGAGTTAGTGGAATTTTCAAGGGTTTCCTGGAGCAAATAGATGTTTAGATGTCTGATATTTCGAGCGCATCTGGCAGAGGCTATAAATAATTGTATCTTAGACACCTGACATTTGTGGTTGCCATCCAGGGCGCCGTTTACCACACTTATCATAGAACACTATGCAGAGACCTAGCGGGGGCAGCCAGGCTCCCTGAATTAAGTCACTCCATTTCCATCTTCAGAGAGAGGAAACTGTACCATGCAAAGCTTCTTAATTAAACCACCATTCAGACCAAGGAGAAAGGTGTCAATAGGGTCAGTGCTATAGTCAGGATCTGAACTGAAAGCTGAACAAACAAAATTAATATCCTGAGCCAAGCCAAAATATTGTTTTTATTTGGTTTTATTTTACTAGATCTCAGTTACTTTTTATTATTATTTTTTTCTTTTGAGACAGAGTCTTGCTCTGTTGCCAGGCGCCAGGCTGGTGTGCAGTGGCGCAATCTCAGCTCACTGCAAACTCCGCCTCCCGGGTTCAAGCAATTCTCCTGCCTCAGCCTCCCGAGTAGCTGGGACCATAGGTGTGCGCCACCATGCCGAGCCAGTTTTTGTATTTTTTAGTAGAGACGGGGTTTTACCATGGTCTTGATCTCTTGACCTCGTGATCCACCCGCCTCGGCCTCCCAAAGTGCTGGGATTACAGGTGTGAGCCACCATGCCCGGCCTACTTTTTATTCTTAAACTCAAAAACTCATTCAGTGGAATCATGTAAACTCAAAATTGGATCGTCAAACTTATTCTTTTCCTTAGAAATGTTTGAATTGGAATAAAATTGAAATATTCAAATGTTCTTAAATGGAGCCTGAAGAGTTGTTTTATGTGAAATCTTGGTTATAACTGAAGACAATGACCCTTTAGAAATTTAAATTTCTCTAGGGTCTGCTGCTTACCTGTTTGTGAGTATTATCAAGAGAGGTGTCAAAAGTCTCTTCATCCTAAACTGAGATGCCAGAGTTCCCAGGCAGGACCTGCTAGGAGGTATGAACAAAGTAGCCCATTATCCCTTCTAGGCTTCAAATCAACTGGTTGTTTTGAAGTTGAAAAGTTGATGGAGAGAACTTTCCCTGGGGAAAGCTGGACTGCTGGGGCCTTTACCTCTGGTCCTCCAGAGATGTTTCAAGTCCTCCCCCTGCCCCGACTTCCTGCCCACCACCAACTTCAGCCACAGGGAAGGTTTCTAAGACATTACTGTCAGGAGAAACTCACCTGTGAGTAAAGAAGTTATCTCAGGAACAGGCTGCAAGAGTGCGTATTTCCTACACACCTAATAGGAACCAGTATCATCTTAAAATGAATCTTGCCCAAGAAAACTTCCAGAACAGAGAATGGGCCCCAGAAGAAGCATGAATAGTCAGAATCTAGGGACTAATGGGAGATGCAAGCTGCCAGCCGGAGAAGAGGACTTGCTCCCAGCTCGGGTGATTGAGTGAGACTGAAGTGGAAATTTTGCCCGGGATTTTGTCAGCACGTTGTCAGCCATCCTCCCTATTTTTAAAACTTACCCTAGTTTTGTTAGTAACTGCCTCTTTCTCCTTCTGCTCCTCGCCTATTGCTTACTAACTGGAAAACCTTAAGAGAAACTGCCTCGTTGTCTAAAACCTGCTGCGTTGTCTAAAGTCCTGAGCTGCTTCCCTTGCCCTTTCACCTATAAAAACTGTGGACTTTTCTTAGCCAGGGTCCAGACTTTAGGTGTGAACCCTTCTGGTCCCGCTGGAGTAATAAAGTGTGTTCCTCCGATCCCCTGAGCGCCATTTGGGTATCTTGTTAGGAAAGATTTTCCAGAACAGGGTGATTTTTTTTTTTTTTTTTTTTGAGGTGGAGTCTCTTACTCTGTCACCCAGGCTGGAGTGCAATGGTGCGATCTCAGCTCACTGCAACGTCCGCCTCCCATGTTCAAGCAATTCTCTTGCCTCAGCCTCCCCAGTCATTGGAATTACAGGTGTGTGCCACTATGCCTGGCTAATTTTTGTATTTTTGGCAGAGACGGAGTTTTGCCATGTTGGCTAGGCTAGTTTCGAACTCCTGATCTCAAGTGATCCGCCTGCTTTGGCCTCCCAAAGTGCTGGGATTACAGGTGTGAACCACCATGTCCAGCCAATGATCTTTAAGAAGGAGGCCAGGCACGGTGGCTCACACCTGTAATCCCAGCACGTTGAGAGGCTAAGGCAGGCAGATCATTTGAGGCCAAGAGTTGGAGACTAGCCTGGCCAACATGGTGAAACCTCATCTCTACTAAAAATGCAAAAAAATTTAGCTGTGTGTGGTGGTGCACGCCTGTAATCACAGCTACTAGGGAGGCTGAGGCAGGAGAATCGCTTGAACCTGGGAGGTGGAGGTTGCAGTGAGCCAAAATCGTGCCACTGCACTCCAGCCTGGGCAACAGAGTGAGACTCCATCTCAAAAAAAAAAAAAAAGAAGTCTCATTGGAGAAAGAAGCATTGCTGCACCTGGCACCTGCAGGGCACTGAGGCCAGAGCGCAGCTCTGCTGGCCTTGCAAGACTGCACCCTTCTCTCTCCTCTCCTCGCTCCTTGGGTCTGACCCTGAGGGTCTAATCATTGGCTAGCAAGTTGTAGAGGAAGGGGATGGGGAGAGAAGCCGTCAAGGGTACCTAGTCCTCCACTGCTGGGCTCCAAGCCTGAAGCAAACCTGAGCTAGAAGTTAAGATGAGAATAAAATTGGAGTTTTATATTAAACTGTTCTTAACTTCCAAAAAAACAGACTGCTTCCAGGCCTGGAAAAGCTATGGGACCTTCCTGAGATTGTGTCTACAGCCTGGAAAAATGATCTATGGAATAAGTTTACTATGGTGTGATGGGCAAGATTAAAATTGTTTCCACGTTCATATTCTGCTGAGACCAACTTCTTCCAAAAATGGGTTACATATACGTTTTGGAATGTTTGTTTAAAAAAAAGTGTGACGATACTTTATGGCTTCCTTTTACATGTATGTGTCGTCTACACATGTATCATATATACATAATCATAGACTTTCACAGCTGGAAGGATATTAAATATGTTCTGGTCCAACATATTCATTTTATAAATGAGGAAAATGAACTCTCAAGATCTCTTTCAGTTCCAAAGGTTGAGGATTTTATGGTATTGACAACTACTTACAGAAGACATTGAAAGAAATCATACTAGGGCTAGACATTAGAGTATTTTAAAACAGAGTCAAGAGGCAGGTGTGGTGGCATGCACCGATAATTGCAGCTACTCTGGAAACTGAGGTAGGAGGATCCCTTGAGCTCAGGAGTTTGAGGCTGCAGTGAGGCACCCAGCCTGGGGGACAGAGAGAGACACTGTCTCTTAAAACATAAAAAAATAAAAAAAAAACCTGTCAAGAATCAAGAATCCTCTGGCTCAGGGAAGGCACTCAGGATACCAGCTGGCTCATTGCTCCTGCAGGACATAAAAGAGTGATTGCTTTTTTAAAAAAATTAGACTGGGGTCCCTGCCAGCCTAAATAACTGCAGTGCTTGACCAAGAGCCAAGCCTAGGAGGCTAAAGACAGAGTTCAAAGATTGCCCTTGTTTTAGACAAGATCATTTCTATTCGCCTTCAGAGAACATTTAGGTCCAACCCTGTCCAGGGATTTAGGCTTGCAGGCTTCTCAGATGCCAGTGTTTTCATGGAGCCTTCGTTCTGGGTACTTTGGTTTTTCTCCCACCCCCGTGGCAGAGGTGAATCCAGAAGCATCTTTCAAGCACCTCTAGGCAGGAAAACAGAGGAGTAGGCAATAGCCGCACCCCATTCATCTTCTCCTTTTCTTCTGAGTTCTCCATTTAATAGTATCAAATTGCCTCTCCCCTACCGCTCATAAGCCATTTCCATGTGTGTTATTACAGTGACCGGCCGGATGTGGGAAGAGAGGGACATCTCCCAGTACAGCCTGGCAAGCATTCTGTGGTTGATGGGGCAGCAAAGGTCCTTAGAGGTCCCCTTTCCCCACCCTTTCTCCTCCTGTGTTACCAATGGTCACAGCCCCGAGTAACAGCAGTGACTCAGTGGTTCAAACATCAAAGAGGCAATTGTCTGGAGCTGAAAGTGTGTCAGGGCCTTGGATATTTAGGCAAACACTGAGAGCAGTGAGGAGTGTGTGGAACTTGGCCTGGAGAAATCCCCCATGCAAAATGCGTGGATGGAACCCAACTCAGCCTCTCACTGACCTCTCTGCAACTGGGAGACGGAAAGAAAAGATGGCTGGAACACAGAGATCCCTGCTTCAGTCTCAGGGATCCCCCCTGACAGTTTCAGGTTGTCTCCACCAAGAGACACACCGTCGACCAGCTCTGGCTAACATGCCTCCTCAGCCTCCAAGAGGGTAGATTCCTCCCTCATCAGCTCTGCAACAAAGCCAATAACCACTCTAATGTTTTGCTGAGATTCTCCTTCACACTTACAGATGACAAGGAGCTTTTCTAGAAAAAAAAGAGGTTGTGATAAAAACTTTCTTCCCTTAGAATGCGAGGTGACGCAATGACTGAATCAATCGAACGATGCCTATCTGTTCATTCTCACGGTGTTCTGGTTATCTCCGGTCGTAATTCCAGTCCTAACTTCTTGCTCTAAAGCATACTGATAAAAATCATCTTTTAATAGAATCATTATTGACTTTGGCCATTGTATTAATCAGAAGTAGTAACTACTGCAATAGCTTTTATTTTATTTTATTTTTTTGAGATGGAGTCTTGCTCTTGTCTCCCAGGCTGAAGTGCCGTGGCGTGATCTTGGCTCACTGCAACCTCCGCCTCCTGGGTTCAAGCAATTCTCCTGCCTCAGCCTCCCGAGTAGCTGGGGCTAATTTGTGTGTTTTTTTAGTAAAGATGAGTTTTTACCATGTTGGCCAGGCTGATCTCGAACTCCTGACCTCAGGTGATCCACCCACTTCGGTCTCCCAAAGTGCTGAGATTTCAGGCATGAGCCACCACATGGCCTGTAATACTTTTAAAATCTTACTGGTTTAATACTAGACAGTTACTTCTTGAAAACGTTAAGTCCAATTGGTTGCTTTGCAACTGGACTCAGACGGCTTATGCTTAGTGTTTCCACCATCTTTAGGGGCCTCAGAGTCCTCTACTGGGTCCTCTGCATCTGACTTCCCAAGAGAGCTTGTGAACGACGCTGTCAGAGGTTTTAGGGAAGCCAGGCACATCACAGAGACTCACATTCAGATTCAGTCCATGCCAGATCGCTTTGAGCTCAGAAGTTGGAGACCAGCCTGTGCAACATGGCAAAACCTCATTTCTACAAAACATACAAAAATTAGCAGGTGTTGGTGGCTTGCGCCTGTAGTCCCAGCTACTCGGGAGACTGAAGTGGGAGAATCGCTTAAGCCCGGGAAAAGGAGGTTGCAGTGAACCCAGATCATGCCACTGCAACAACCCTGTCTCAAAAAAAAAAAAAAACCTCAAAAGACAAAAACAAAAAAAGAATCAGCCTGTGCCTCGCCTCACTGTAAAGGGCTGGGAGATACAGTTCTGTCATGCACTGCCCAGGAAGAAGAGGAGCCCATGGTTTTGGTGAGCTCTGTCCTGGTGGCAGCCCGCCTACCTGGGTGAAGCAGTATACACAGGGATGACGAGTCTAGGGTCTAGGGCTGGACTGCTTGGTCTGGAATCCTGGCCCAGACACTTCCTCATCATATGACCTTCCCCTTTGTAAATTGGACACAATAATGTTACTTACCTGAAGCGTTGCTGCAAGGGTGAAAGAAGATGACTCCTGTAAGTCCTGAGCTTAGAGCAGTGGCTGCACAGAGTGAGCACCTGAGAAACACTAGCTATTTGCAGTGAATGTGAAGCCCTTAGACCAAGCCCTGCAGCACAGAACCTCAGCTGTTATCATTCCTTCTTTCCCTTGTTTATGACTTCAACTAAAACCTTTTTTTTGAGACAGGGCCTCACTCTGTCGATTAAGCTGGAGTACAGTGGTGCCATCACAGCTCTCACGGCAGCCCCTATTTCCTGGTCTCAAGTGATCCTCCCATCTCAGCCTCCTGAGTAGCTGGGATCACAGGTGTGCACCACCACTCAGGATTTTTTGTATTTTTGTAGAGACAGGGTTTCATCACGTTACCCGGGCTGGTCTCAGAGTGGTCTGGGCTCAAGTGATCCACCCACCTCAACCTCCCAAAGTGTTGAGATTACAGGCATGAGCCACCGCGCCTGACCTAAAAACCTTGTTTTCTTATGTTCAAGGCCCTCTATCTGCTTCTCCTTTTCTTTCCTGTTCTCTTCTTTGCTGCAAGTTTGTCTGGTTCCATTCCGGATTTTGTTTCTTTCTCCTCCATCATACACCCTCTGGCTGTGAAAGTCTTGTCTTAGGCCCCACCCTGTGGCCTCCATTTCTCTCCTCTATCAAATACCTCCTGAAGCCCAGGCCAAGCAGTGGGGCTGGACACAAGGCCGGTGGCCCAAAAAGAATGCTGAATTTTTGCTGCACATACTTAAAAATGCGGAGAGTAATGCTGAACTTAAGGGTTTAGATGTAGATTCTCTGGTCATTGAGCATATCCAAGTGAACAAAGCACCCAAGATGCGCCGCCGGACCTACAGAGCTCACGGTCGAATTAACCCGTACATGAGTTCTCCCTGCCACATTGAGATGATCCTTACTGAAAAGGAACAGATTGTT